CCTGACAGTGCTTTAAAGTAAGAGATCTTGCCAATTTGTTTAAAAAAAAAAAATATCAGTGTATGTCTCAATGTAAATCCAGTATTTAGTAGATAACCTTTTATGTAGTATTTGCTGCCCCTTTCAGGTCCCCGGGCTGTCTCTTAAAGCTCACCCTTGACTTGGTCAGCGAAGGAGGTGCTGATCGTGCATCGGGAAATGATGAAACTAAATCTTAAACATTGACAGATTTATTTTTAAAAGAAAAAATGAAAAATTTAACTTAGTTGTGTAATGCAACTTTGTGCTACATAATGATGATCGGTACAGCTTTAAGGGGTGCTATTTAATAGCTCATCCATAAAATGACAGCTTATGTAAATCAAGTAAAGCTTTTAATTCATGTCCACTTCTCATACTCCGCGTTTGGCTTCTTAACTTACAATCTTACAATTTGCACCAGTCCTTAGTTTTAGTATCAGGTTTCAAATGAAATAGAGTTGCTCATTTTGCAAATAGGAAAAATGTTGAATATCCACATCAGTGTTTAAAGTTTGAAAGTTGAGAAAAGGCAGAAGAAAAGTCAAATTCCTCCTTCTTTATTCAGGAAATGATGGAGATTTGTTGCCAGGATAACATTCTATGGAAGGTTGGCCGTCACACGCTTCTTTCTCTTTTTCAATTAGTGGAAAAGAACCTGCAGTCTTTATTAAATATGGACTATGCAATCCAGGCTTTTATTTTACATTCATAAAATGGGGTATGAGACTGAGCTATGTTTACTCACTGCCAGTCTTCGGGACTTCTGGGGAGAGCTGGAGGACTCGGTGGCTCGTTGAAAATGCCTGTGTCTTACAGAAGATGGTGATTTCATAGAATCATAGAATCGTTTAGGTTGGAAAAGACCTCTAAGATCATCAAATCCAACTGTTAACCTAACCCTGCAATCCCACCACTAAACCATGTCCCTAAGCGCCTCGTCTACCTGTCTTTTAAATACCTCCAGAGATGGGGACTCGACCCCTTCCCTGGGCAGCCCCTTCCAGAGCCTGACAGCCCTTTCATTTGATGAGGCTTGCGACTTTTCTTGGAAATTCCGTCTTTGTTACTTTATCTGGTTTGGGCTCATCTTTGTTTTGCTTTTCTGGTTATCATTAAGACGCATTTCTCTTTTCAGCATAGAGTTGGCCAAGACAATTTTACCAGCCATTACACCATACTGAAATCCTCTTGGTGCCCTAGCAGATGTTTAGGGTCTGTTGGTGTTTGTTATATTCAGCATTTCAAATCTTGGCCACAAACTTGCTTGGGAGGGGGATACAATTTTTTTTCCTCCCCTCAGTATTTCTAGCCATGATTGCAGGTGCTTAATATGAGCGTGTACCCTCTGGTGTGATGGGTGAGTTATCTGGTGACTTTTTTTTTTCCCCCCACTTTGGCTAAAATTTCTTTTTCTTTAATTCTTGCAAATCACGTCTTCAAAAGTGAGTGTTTTTCGGGCTGGTATTAATGAATCACACGTTGGCAATGTTTTCCCTGGTGTGATAAACAATTGTTCTATTAGTCTGTCAGATTAGTGAGCCACAAACTCTGAAATGTTTTACATGGTTTTGGGGTTTTTTTTTTTAAGTTGCTTATTTTGACAGCCATTATAGCCCATCCCACAAATATCTTGGTCTTTATACATCTTAGGCTTTAACAGTTTCATGGGAATTAATATTTTTGCTTGTGAGTCTGAGCCCACTTGGGGTTTTTGCTGGTTAGTTTGGGGGGGGTTATTGTTGTCTGAGGGTTTGGGGGGTTTTTTTGGTCAGATTGGACCTCCACCATGCTTTAAGGTAGGCTCTGGAGCTCTGTTTTGATTCAGAAGTTTCCAGCTATCTGGAGCTGGAAATTGGATGATGAATCTTTATAGGACACCTAATAAAGAGCTGAAGTTAGTCATCCTTGGGATTTTGGTGTGCAGTATTCTTTCAGGTATCAGCATAACATCTCTCTCTTACTCAAGGTGTCCTCCTTTCAGCAACATTTAGTATTAATACTGAGATCTTCATCATTTGTGACCATTAAAGAGACCCATATTCCTCTCAAACAGTGGTTGTTAATCCTGCCCACATCTTGGTTTGGGAATTATCCAGATTCTCTGCAGTTTCAAATGGTTTCAAAAGAAGAAGTTGCCTTCTTTCTGCTGTAAATCTCTTCTCCTGTGCTGCAGTCCTCTTATACAACCACCGTATACTGCAGGGAGGATGCTCAAGTGAAATGATTCCTACATGGAAAGGAATATTATCCTTGCTGGTGGTGGTGGAGATTATGTTGACTGATGGCTTCCTTGTGTGAACTTTGGTTCCGGACTGCTTTGGATTCCTTTTTTCTTTTGTTTTACTCTCTCGTAGGTCAGTAACTTACCATTTGTCATCAGTAGAGGATTTTTCTACGAGCTGGAATAATTAGTCTCTGTTAGACATCCAGTGATAAATGGGAGAGGAAGAGGAAAAAGGTTAACAATTAATTTTGTTTCAGCATTAGACTTCAATGAAGTTGAGAGCGTGCCACTTGCTCACAGAGGGAGGTGATTTGTGGAATTTTACATAGACAGTCTCATACGTTTTCATGTGAGAATGCAGCTGGATCTTGTCCCAATCCCTGCAATTTATCTGTACACTGTGGGAATCAAATGAAAATGTACTGGCTATACCAAACTCTCCCTAACATGAGGTCCTGTATTGTTGTCAGTGTCTGAGCAGGAGCGAGTGCTCCAACTGCCCTGGTTGGTCCCCAAAACTGAATGTGGTTCTCATTGCTTTGCTGGAGCATGTCCAGAGGAGAGCCACAAAGCTGGTGAGGGCTGAGGAGCACAAGCGTTATGAGGAGCAGCTGAGGGAGCTGGGGTTGTTTAGTTTGGAGAAGAGGAGGCTGAGGGGAGCCCTTATTGACCTCTACAACTGCCTGAGAGGAGGCTGTAGCGAGGTGGGGGTCAGCCTCTTCTCCCTGGTAACGGGCAATAGGATGAGGGGCAATGGTCTGAAGTTGCACCAGGGCAGGGTTAGAATCATAGAATCACTTTGGTTGGAAAAGACCTTTGAGATCATAGAGTCCAA